CGTCATAAGCGACCGGCGAAGAGTACGGTTGAAACCGAACACCAACACGATGGAACCGCATGGCATGAGATTTGTTTCTTTCTCAAATACGGTTTCAACCTTTAGTACATTGAACGATGAAACAGAACATTTCGGTTCCAACCGATTGCCCAGGCTGACATGGACACACGACACGCGACGACCATGCAGACCGTTGCAGCAAGTTCAATTCAATGTTCAACGTACGGGAGCTGAGGTTGCATGCAGCTGCGCACAGCTGATTGTACAGTAGGCACTATCAATGAGTGAGAGAGTAGTTCTTCTCGCGTCTCCCCCCACAAATAAAATGCATGTAAACAAACAACTCTAATTAACTTTTGTCTTTTTTGGAACGACGACGACGACTGATCCCTGCTGGTGGTTCGTTGTTGGCAAGTCCCGATCGATCCACCACCATCCAAGGCCAGCAACACAACACAAGCTTATATATATATATATATATATATATATATATATATATATATATATATATATATATATATATATATATATATATATATATATATATATATATATATATATATATATATATATATATATATATATATATATATAAAGTTTTTGTTTCGGAAAATTAAACCTGATACCCACTTCTTCTTCGATCGATGGTTATATTACAAACTGATTAAGATCAGAGCTTTGCTTAGCTGTACGAATTTACATGGCTTCTTCTCTCGCAGATCATGTTTTGGTTAACGAGCAATCAGATTCCGAAGAAAACTTGAAAAGCTCGATGCACACATCTGATTACTCGATCTCGTCTAATAATCTACTTACCATCAGCTCGTTAGGAGGACGCACGCGCAGGTGCCACGCAACGCAGCTCTCTTCTCACGCTACGTTCTTGACAGCCTGAGGTTGCAAACGTTGCATATACTCCGTAATTAAAGGACGCAACTTACAGCTTCAAAATCCGTTTAGAATCCAGAAATCAGGTGAATCGTATAGAATTTCATAAGAAGAAAAAAGGAAGTGCTAAATTTCAGATGCCTTAATCTTTCGGTGATTGTTTTTAGCCGTCCAATCTAGATCCTAGGGCCCATATACCATACGTCCTCTTTGACCTCGATCTCTTTATCACTTCGAGGTGTGTTAGTCATGCTTGTCGCCCCTCGTCTCCCTCCAGTCTGCCCTGTTCTCGCTAGCCTCCTGGCCGCTGCTCCGTGCCCGTCTCTATTGGTTTGGACGGCTGTAGCCTAACGATTTTCTTTAAGAGCAAGGTTAATAATACTGCTGGCCACTGGCTGTAAGGTTTCTTTACAGTCTTCTCTCAGCCTACCCATATAATAGTGAGTTCTTTATTATTAATACATGGCCCATCTGTCTCTCACGAAATTTTTTGGTTTTTGTGCTTATAAGCCGGCTGTAAGCTTACAGTCCGTTTCTCCTCTCTCCTCCACACCAGCATTTAACCAGCTTACTACTTATTATTATACTTGCTCTAAGGCTGGCAGCCTCCCTCCTCCGACGAACGGCAAGACCCTCCCTAAACTCATTGTCTTTCAAGATTCAAGCGACTGAAATGTAGGCTATGTGTAAGGGGGAAAAAACACAAGATTCGTCAAAAAAAAAAACTGCGTGCTAAGCAGGAGTGTGGCCATAGCCCCACGCGTGAAGTGGACACGGGGTAAATAAAAGCCAAAACGCACTAGCTAGCACTCTAGCAGATAGCACGATACAACGGGAGGCGCGCACTCATCAGACATCAGCGGTTAAGGCGTCCACTAATTTGGCATTTTGGCTAGCAGCGACTGCAACAAAGTCGTCGTCTCACGCACGGACATCACATCCTTCGTTCGTTCGATTCCTCACTATATCTATGTCCTAATCTGTCCGCGCCGCTCGCCCACAAGCCGGGATTATTCCATCCTTCAGATGCTGCCTGCTAGATAGTATGATAATAACGTAGTGACGACTAACTTAATCAGTTAATACTCAGAGTCACAGGCTAGCTGATTCCAACAATTAGCGGCATCCACGGACGATGACATTGACATACCAGGCCAGATTTTATACTAAAAACTGATGAAAGAACTGCTAGCAGCAAGTTAGCATTTTGCTTTGCCTGATCAAATCCAATCAGTCGACCGATCAGCTGGTCATGATCGCTCTGACTTGGTCAACGTGGGCGTCCATGTTAATGCTATCTACTCGCTCTGTCTCTCTGCTGGGCCATCCATTCCATCATCTCCATGGACCATGGGTCTGCATGTTAGGCCGCTACTGTAGCTCTGTTGGAGAGAGAGAGAGAATAAAGGTTTAGGAAACGATGGAAAGAAAGGATGTGAGGACTAGCTTGTGTCCGCCCATCCAGCCGAAATGATTAGAACCCCCGCCAAATTGGATTTGGTAATGCTAATCTAACGGTGCCAAACTGCCAACATTATCGCCTCGCCTCGTCTCGTCCCTTCTAATAGGCACAACAACGGCCGGCCCTCACCTGTCCCCTTCATGGCAGGGCCACACCATCCTCGTCCTCTATGGCTAGCTGTGCCAAAGACCGACGAAAAATCTCGGCGATTCAATGGCTTCGCGGTCTGGATTAAGGTCTGATTATGCGTACAATTCTAGTCCGTAGGATGTTATATATGTTTTTTTCATTATTGTGAGCTTGGTTAGAACGAAGCCTGGAAAGAAACCCCACCACAGCCACAGCCACAGCCACCACCGTGTGCCGCCGCCGCCGCGTACGAGAATTTCGGCGCGCCATCGCCGCCGTCCGCAGCAGCCGGCCGCACGCGCACATGCGTACGTACAATACACGGTCCCCGACCCCGGCCCGCCCGCGCGCCGCGCCTCCATGCTCCATGTGCGGCCGCTGTACCTGTACGCGTCCCCGTAGGGCTGTAATCCTGTACCGACTACCGAGCACCCACCGCCACCGTAGACGTACGTACAAAACGGAGCCCTACTCTGCTGGAATGCACCCGGCCGGCGGATATGTAAACCAGCTGGCCGCTTCTTGTACTACCTGGCTCTACCCACCACGGCTTTCCCAAACCCAAATCATGCAGCGCGCGCGTATTCATTCATTTCGTTGTGCAGGAAGAAGGGCTGTACCAGTGCAGTACAGCTTCCAATTTTTGGTGCTATCTATACTCCTACCACTACTCCATAATACGCCTTCGTACGTAACGGATGGATGGGTGCGAGCCTGGAGCTTTGGACCTACTACACTCCATCAGTACATATATACGTGTAGTAATATTCCACGCCATGCGATGTCTGCATACATCATACATACTACACGCACGCACATCGCCCAGCAGCAGTGGTAGTAGTAGGGTGGTACTACTTGCGTCGTTTTATTATTAGATATGGCTGTCCCGGCTTCGGCTTAATAATGGCTTCTCATCACACTTTTAATGGCGCTTGCAAATCACAGTTAAAACTGCCAACAGTACACATGTGCTCCCCCTGCTCCCCTGCTCGACACGTAGCGATAGCAGTGACGGAAAAACTTTTGCTTTTGGGCCAGTCTCATAACCTCAAGGGACCGGGGTGGTGTGAATCTGTGATGAACTCAAGGGGGGCAAAAAGCGTCTGTTTTTAAATCATGTCAAATGCTATAAAGCGTTGGTTTTCAAATGCTATTTAAGAGTATGCATGAATGAGATTGCTCCATGGAATTCGTATCCTATTTCTTTTCCTTTTGTCTTGGAAAGAAAAGATATCGAGTAAGAAATCATGCTTTTCTGGTTGAAGAAAAAAAAAGTTAAAAAAAAATCATGGTGTATGCTATCATCATCATTTCATTGAGTAAAGCATGGAAGGTGCTGCCTTTGCCAAACGAAATGTAAGACTTATACCGCTCTTCCTTTTAAATTCCTGTGCTTATCGTTACATCATTACCTCGTTTGTTTGTCATCGCCTTAGTGATTATTAGACCAAAGTCACATGACCTTTGCATCTTACTGTCTCCCTTGTCTTTAAATAAAGGACATGCCTTTTGCGCTAACGAGAAATTACTACAATAATCTTGCTTTACTCACGCGTGTCATGGTGTAACACCACCTCTAAACAAACACAAAAGTTCAATTTGCCATTACCATCCCACTGGTATTCTACACATTACCATCAAAAGAATAATAATTTCACAATACCTTCGTTAGAACTTTACCAAAGATTCACCACGCTAAAACAAGCACACCATATTTCCCTTCTCTACGAGGCATTCGCGGTTGCAGGTCAAAACACTATCAGCTTTGTTATCTGTTGCGGCATCATCGTAGCACTAGCAATCTAATTGTTGTCGGGCTGACGTTAGTCACGTAGTCCACGTGTATTTCTTCGTATCTCTTATCTTAAATGGGCATGTCTCCCGCTTAGGAAGCAAGATATCATTTTTCTTTACTCTTATTGTCGTTTTGCAATACCGTTTGGATACCTTCGGTATTACTACCAAATATCGTATCTTCTGGCTATAGTTACTGTTCAATTGATATTTAATAGTAGTGCTGCTAAAATCAATATAAAACAATATAGATATTTATTTATGAGAAATCTGCTAGTCACGTCATAAGCGTATGTATCTTGATTACCGTGGTAATTCAAACTGAAGTAAGGTATTTTTCTCACCTTGACTCCTCTAGGTCAAAGAGAAACCACGAAAATCAACGTACAAAGACCAGAAAAAAACCAATCATCTATTCCGTCTCGCCCAGTCTCTCACTCTCAGCAAGACGAAATCCAGGGTGGCCGTAGCAGCAGCAGCTTGGGGATGGGTGACTGATTGGTGAAGAAAAGAGAAAGAGAAGAAGCACACAGAAATACATACAAGATAAACAGTGACTATATAAATGGTACCAGTTATTACGCTCCTCTCTTCTTCTCCGCGTTTTCCACCTCAGTCCTAGCTAGCAGCTCCTTTACTCATCCGTCCGTCGGCCCCATCCCCTCCATCTCCATCCATCCTTCCCCAAGCAGCCACCAAGAGCCGAAGAAGCCGAGAGCGAGGCGCAATGGGCGACCGGGCGTACGCGCCGGCCGCGAAGCCGGTTCCCGTGCGCGCCACGAACGGCGCCGCGAACGGCGGCGGCGCCGGTGGCGGTCCGCCGCGTCCCGCGCCGCCGTCCATGCTGCCCGGCGGGCGCGTGCCCCCTCCGCCGATGTACCGTCCGAAGCCCGCGCAGTCGCGCCCGCCGGCGCGTCGCCCCCGTCGGAGCGCCCGCGGGTGGTGCTGCGCGTGCTGCCTGTGGCTGACGCTGGTGCTGGTGGGCCTGGTGTTCCTGGGCGCCATCGCGTCGGGGGTCTTGTACGTGGTGTACCGCCCGCGCCCGCCAAGCTTCGCGGTGACGTCGCTGCGGCTGGCGGCGCTGAACGTGTCCGACTCGGACGCGCTCACCTCCCGCATCGAGTTCACGGTGACGGCGCGGAACCCCAACGATAAGATCGCCTTCCGCTACGGCGACATCGCGGCGTCCTTCGCTTCCGACGGCGCGGACGTGGGCGACGGCGTGGTCCCGGGGTTCCTCCACCCGGCGGGCAACACGACGGTCATCCGCGCCGAGGCCTCCACCGCCGCGTCCACCATTGACCCCGTCCAGGCGGCGGCGCTCAGATCCAGGAAGTCCCACGTCATGGCCGCGCAGATGGACGCCAAGGTCGGGTTCCAGATCGGGCGGTTCAAGTCCAAGAGCATCAACGTCCGCGTCAACTGCGCGGGGGTCTCCGTGGGGCTCGCCAAGCCGGCGCCTGCCGCCGCGCCCGCGCCCGCGCCGGACGCGGAGCCGACCGTGGTGGTCGCCGCGGCGCCGGCCCCTACCCGAGGCCGTGGGCGTGGGCGGTCGCCGCGGTCGGTCGTACGGACGTCGTCATCCTCCAGCAGCGGCGGCGGCGGCGGAGGGAAGATGACGCCGACGGACGCAAAGTGTAAGGTCCGCATCAAGATCTGGATTTGGTCGTTTTGATGGATGGGCGGATTCCATTTTTCCTTTCAACTTCTTTTTCTCTTGCTTCTTCTCTTGACAACAGTGTATGTGGATTTATTGGAGTATAGTCTATATGGTTTTCATTTTCGATCCCCTTGTTCATCACCACATCACATATGCACAAATCACATCCTACTGATTCTTGAACAATTTTTCGTCCAAAATTCCCAACCCGCTACATGGAATAGTTCATCGTTGTGCAATTCGACCCTGCATATGACTACTGCTAGGCCACTTCACACTCTACAGTGCCAGCAGCAGGAATCTACCAGCCGTTATATTAGGCCCCGTTTAGTTTCTAATTTTTTTTCTTCTACAGTAAAAGAGTATGTTTAGATACATAGTACATAGAAAAAATTAATTGCACAGTTCTCGACTCGACAAGATCGTGAGATGAATCTTTTAAGGCTAATTAGTTCCTGAAAAACCTTAAATGTTACAATAACCGCATGTGTTAATGACTAATTAATTTGTATCATTATATTTGTCTCGCAGTTTTTTTGATGAGTTCTGTAATTTTTTTTTTGTTAATATCAAAACTTCTCTTTCAGCATTTTTTTGACACATCAGATGTGACACCCAAAATTTTTTACTCATCAACTAAACACCCTCTTAGGCTTTGTTTAGTTTTAAAAAAAATTTCAAAAAAGTACTATAATAGCCATCACATCGAATCTTTCGATACGTGCATGGAGCATTAAATGTAGACGGAAAAAAAACTAATTGCACAGTTCGGTAAGAAATCACGATGCAAACGTTTTGAGTTTAATTAGTCACTGATTTAACACTAATTACTAAATAAAAACAAAAATACTGACGTGATCAAATTTTCAAATTTCGTCGAACTAAACCCGGCCTAAATCACAAACTGGTGAGTGCTGACCGTACTAATTTCAGTGCTGAGCTAACCAAACCAGCGGTTTGTGCTGAAAGCTCGGATGCGACTGTGGCTCTGGCTTGTCGGTGGCGTAACCGTAACGGCGGATGGATTTGGATTTCCAGCTAATGCTAGGCTAGATTTCGTCGTCGGCCTCCTCGCCTCCCTTTTAATTCCTCTTGCTTGCCTCTGTCTCCGTCCGCGGTCCGCCCCGCCCAGCGGGGGTGGTGGCGTGGTGGATGGATGGATTTGCGGGTCGCTTTCCGTCATCCGGGGGCGTCCTAGCTGGAGGAGGAGGCTGACGCGCGGGACCGTGACGGTTTGGCCCCACGTGGAGAGTGGGCTGAGGGGGGCGTCGCGGCCGCGTGGCGAGGGGATAGGACGTGTGTCGGGGACTGGAGTGGTGGGGGATGACCGCCTGATGTGCTGAGGAGAGAGAGAGAGCGCGTGAGAGAAAAGGACACTCACTTGCTGCTACAGTGATGCTAGAGAGAGACGATTGATGACTGGAGGGAGAGGGTACTAGTAGCACCTGTTCGGCTGATCCAGTTTCAGCTGAGGGTGCGCGGTGCGGATGGGAGAATTTAATGGCGGCTAGTGGTGGGTATGGGGCGGAGCTGAAATTCGCTAAACGCACATGCCACCAACGGTAATGTCATCTGTCTCTGCCACTCTCTCCTTACATTCCCTGCTATTTTTATATTCTCTCTAAATTTTGGAGGAATTCTGGCTAGGATAGTACTACCAGAATGCGCAACGCCTCATACGAATTTTTGAGGAAACTCAGACGTGGCTCCTGCCTCCCGAGGGAACCCAATTTCGTGTCTTCCTCTCTACTACTACGGTAGTACTAGCCTCGTTTAGAAGTTTTTTCTTCTCTTCTCACTACTACGGTAGTATTAAATAGGATTCCTAATCTAGTTTGTGTAAATTACAGTGATTTTTTATTAGACCGTTCGCGTGTCGATTCAATTTTACTCTCCAAATAAATTTAAGGTCTCGTTCGTTTTAGTACGGGATTACTTTCACTCCCGGCCTGATTCCACCCGTGTCTCAATCCGTGCAGTGGCAGGCTCCATTCCGGAGGGGCGAGGTGGGGAATGAATCAAAGTTCAGGCTGTTTCAATTCGGACCAGATCGTTTGAATCCAAGCCATGCCTAACTCCATTCCCAATCCGCCCAGATTGGGCTGCATTCCGGGCTAAACCGGCCGAACCGAACAAGCCCTAACCGTGAACTAAACAAGGCTCTAGTAGGATTCCCATCTCGTGTACTACAGTGATAAATTATTAACCGTTCGCGTGTCGATTCAATTTTACTCTCTTCCAAATTTGTGCTACTGCTACGACTCACTAGCCTGCTTTGTCTCCGTGCACTGGGTAAGCGCGAAGAAGCAAAGCTATTCGTTCGTCCGTATGCGCTTGTCGTCGTTGCTGGGATTGCCATCTTCAATCTGTTGGGTCATCTCGAGAGCACAGTTTGCTTGCTGTGCTGTGCTGTGCCCGTCGACAAGCATGAACAGTCACTAAGTGAAAAATGGTTTGTAGTAACTGATAAATTTTTTTAGGCGGCGGGTGATAGAGCCGTCCCTATAATAACGTGTTTGGAAGTCTAGAGACCAGCCGTCTCTATAAATGAAACAGCAGGGGCGGCTGGTGATACGAGCCGCCTCTACAAATAGGTCGGATTTATAGTGGCGGCTCACTCACCAGCCGCCCTCAGTATTACTATTTATAGGGGCGGCTCAATAACCAGCCGCCCCTACAAATGCTCAAATAAAAAAATACTTGGAATCACTTGACGCTTGACGCCGATCGCAGCAGATCCTTCGTCTCTTTCTCCTCTCAGCCCTCCCTCCCTCGTTGGCGAATCGACTCAAACCCTAACCCCTCTCCTTGCCAATCCCCACCCATGGATCACGACCACTCCTCGCGCCGCACTCGCGACGACGACGGGCACCACCGATCTCGCGACCGGGACGACGACTGACACCACCGCCGCGAGTCGCCACGACACCGACGCCGCACACCGGCGTGACGGGCGGGGCGAGGACCGTCGCCGCCACCACCACCGCGACAAGGGCGGGGTGGAGGGGTGGCGGATGACCGCCGCCACCGTCACCATCACGATAAAGACGGCGACCATAGTTACCGCTATCGCGCGGCAATGGGACGGCGACCGCCGCCGCTGCTGGAACCGGCGGTCCGTTCCCGGTCCCGAGTCCCGCCACCCTCGTCGAAGAGGGACCGCTTCGTCTAGCGCGCCGGCGGAGTCCGTCGGAAGGCCGCGACTCCACCGACCGCGAACCGCGGTCGCCGTCGTGGAAGCGGAAGGGCCACGAGGGCGGTGGCGGCGGGATGAGCCCGGCCGCGAAGGGGAAAGCGGGTCGAGGCATCCATAGATCCACCTCTGCCCAAGGAGGAGAGGCTTAGGCGGGAGCGCCGGAGGTTTGAGGATGTCGATGCGATTGGGAAGAATGGTGATGTGAGTAAGTTGGGTAAGGAAATCTCATCTCATGAGCGAGAAGAAGGGGAGCTATCGATTAACGGGATTTCACGAGCAGCGGCGCTGCGCGTAATGTAAGTGTTATTACGATTCTTTGAGTTTCGTTCATTGTGTTTTCATGTTGATTACTAAAGCTTGGGCAAGAGAATGCTTATGAGTGCTAGTATATCCTTTTTGTCAAGTGAGCGATGGTCTTACTACTAGTTTCGGGTTATGGAAACACGGAGAAATGGAATGGCTAGATTATTGGGTCATACTATTTGCTTAGTTCATAGAATATCAGTTCATAATCATCATCTGTCTAGAAAATGTTGAAGAGCTTAAAGTCTTTCTCTGAGAATCTGCGTTTTAAGGTTCATTTCGCTCAAGAAGTTTATGCCATCTAAAAAATTGAGTGGTATTGCTTGAATGTCTCCTTATGAAAATATCTTAGGAGATTAACGATTCTTGAGCTTGATTTGATTAGCCTTTGTTATTACAATGCCAACTTTTGCCCTAGATTCGATAAAAATAAAGGCTGACTATGGCAATGCTTCCTAAGTCATAATTATGACTGTTTTGTCTTTATCATAAGTCTATAATATGCTTTGTTTGACACTTATCAGTTGAAAGTATGGTGCACTTATGCGACTTTTCTTATTATTGTAAATACATTTTAATATGCTACAAAGTGATCAAGACTTTAATGCATCCCCTATTGGTTCATGTTTGCCCAAGTGATGGATAGTATAGTTATATATTTTGAGGAATCGAAATGATGTTTTAAATATGAAGTTGTTTGAGGAATGTCATAGTATTTTTGCCCATGCTATAATCGCCTATTGGCTGCAGATGCTACTTTTGCATTTGGTCGTAGTCTCTTTACTCTCAAGGCTATGGCATTTAAAGTGAATACTGTTAAAATTATTCATTTTGATACTTAGGGACATCACCTCGGTTGGTTAGTATTAAGAAGGTTATCAATATTACCAAAGTTACACTTAGGGGCATGCATCACCTCGATTCGGTTAATATTAGCAAGGTTATCCCTAGGAGTTCAACTTGGTTGGTTTGTGACCCGGCTATTTGGTGTAATAAAGTATCGATTCGCCAAATTGGGTTCAACAAGAGCTTTTTTCAATGGGAGAAGCCCGATGACTAGTGGGGAATCTGTTGGTGCCCCATACAAAGTGCTTGTTGTCATCTTGTTCTCATACCATATTTGTGATTACCTTTAGAATTATTTTTTTTGTTATTGTATGTTTGGTACCAACCATTTTGACATATGTTGTAGCATAGCTATGGTAACCATTCTTCTTTGGCTTTCTGGAATGTTTGATTCACTTGTTTGTGGGGTAGCCTTTGGTGGGATTGGATGAGTTTTTAATAGAAAGTTTGTCCTCTATTTCTATATTTGTTTGAGCTGCAGCTTTTGAGCTTTTGCTTCTGATTGTTACCTCTTTGCTATTGGCTTTTGTAATGATTTTTTTACCTTCTGAAGTGCTTTCTAAAGGTTCATAAAGGAAAGTATAGCCAAGTTTGGTGTGGTCTAAGAATGGATTCATTTCTTCGGGTCCAAATGGTTTGAACCCTCTGGTTTTGATAGGGGAAAACAGGCAAGGTGGATACTTAGTTTTCCTTCCCCTTTTTGTGCTAACTCTTTTAGTTTGTAGGACCTAAATGTTTGGGTGCTACATGTTTCACAATATTATTAGTTGGTGTTTAAATATATGAAGAAAGGTTTCCATTTGCTTCTGATTGTGGATGTAGGAGGTTTTAGAAATTGTCCAAGCTAATAACACCAGTTACTTGGCGATGAGCATTTCTATCTTTTCATTTTTGCTCTTGTGGAAATCGGCACTAGACCACATCCATCCAGTATCAAAAGGTATCATGCTTCTGACTTTCCAGAATCTGTGGTAAAGTAGCTTACCTGCTTAGTTCTTAGAGATTCCAGTTCATGTGGTCATTGGTGAGTAGATTCTTTTGAGTATGCATTCCTGAGACATTTTTTTTCTCTTCATGTGTTCCCTTACTAATGCCTAGCATTTCCAGAAGAGCCATGTTAGATTCGTCTGTTTTCTTATGGTTCTAAGGTAGAGTAATATTGGTCCGGATCAGAACTGCTACTTCCAGGTCTGTTCTCTTATGGTTCTAAGGTAGAGTATTGGTCCTGATTGGAATTGCTACTTCTTGGTTAGCTTGAGCTTTGTAGCGACAACAGAAAGATCATCAGATTAGGCTGATTATTTGGCTTCATCAATACAATCTCTTTATAGATGCCCCATGTTCCTTTTGATTATAAGATACAAGGGGTCTAGTGTTAGTCTTTCCTCTCTCACTTCTTTGTTGATGATGCTTGGCTTGTTGCTTAGCCACTAACTAAATGAAATATTATTGATTTTATTTGATACTTTTGTGTTTCTATCATATCACCGCCGAGAGCCTGTTCAAGAACCTCACCCAGGAGAAGGCACTAATGTTTCCCCAGAATGATGAATTGAGTAGTGTAAGAAGTCTGAGGATTCTAATTATTAGCTTGTATCACCGGAGTTTGATGGTGGTTATTAGATCCTCAGTTGTTTTCTTATTTGTAACATTGGCAGTTGTATCATTTGAACTCTGATTAAGGTTGATGGAGACATGGAGTTGCACTTAGCCCCTTATCAATTGTGTTTGGCATTCCAGTTGAAGACCACTACAACTGATGGTCCTCATCACCTTATTTCTTAGCTAAATTGATTTATTTTTCTTCCGTTGCAACGCATAGGATGATTTGGGGGAGCATATGTTGGTAATTTGATTTTTTTGGCGGAAAAATATACTGTAGGGGCGGCTGGTACTGTAGCCGCCTCTACAAATCGATTTTTTAGGGGAGGTACAAATCGATTTGTAGGGGCGTCTGATAACACCAGCCGTCACTACAAATAGATTTGTAGGGACGGTCTGAGAATCGCTCCTACAAATACATGATTTGTAGAGACGATATGATAAAAGCGGCTGGCCGAACCGCTCCTACAAATACTCATTAGCCGCCCCTGGAAATCATATTTAACGTAGTGCGCATGCCGCGGAGGCACGGCAGCATCAGTGCTGCATGGCTGACCAGTGGTCAAAGATGGTTCTCCATGTGCTGCACGCTGCCCTTTCCTTCTTCGGCCTTGTTTAGATTGAGGTTAGAAATCAGTATTTGGCAATGCAGCACTTTCGTTTGTATTTGATAATTATTATCTAATCATGGCTTAACTAGGCTCAAAAGATTCGTCTCGTAATTTACAATCAAACTGTGTAATTAATTATTATTTTTTATTTATATTTAATACTCCATGCATATGTCCAAAGATTTGATGTGATGGAGAGAGAGTGAAAAAACTTACAATCTAAACGAGGCCTTCTTCGGTAAAATAAAATAAAATAAGCTGAACAGGAGCTGCAGTAACAGCCAGTAACAATTTTTGTTTTCATTTGTTTATTTACTCTAGTATGTAGGACTGTTAACAAGAGTTTGGGGGAAACTGTTGTGTATAATACTAGGAAAAAAAAATTATGTACCTTGCTCCAATACGAAAGCCATGCCGGCCGGTTGCCTGCAACGAGTCAGCGAGCCAAATCATCATGCATGGCACAACGTCTGGACAGCCGAGGGAGTCAGGGAACAAATAAAATGAAAATTTTCCTGGAACTCTTGCTGAAGCAATCCAGACTTTCTTGTGTTTGAATGAAAAAAAAGGGAAGCATGCATGATATTGAGGTTCATCAATCTATGGATGGATGTATACTAATCCGTGTACTACTGGGCTCACAGCGCTAATGGCCGCAGTTTTGTCCTTTGGAGATAGTAGGGGCGCCCATATAGTTCCAGTAGTCCTCGTATGGTGGAGGGCATGTGGGGTTGGGTAAGTGGCATGCTGTAGTAGATTAGGAGTATTATTGTACGGATCGGGCTTAGGGAGGCTTTGATTGTCAGGTATTCTTCCAGCATGTACGTTACAAACAAAAGTTACTAGTTCCTACTCTACTACCAGTTGCTAATTAATAACTCCTGAATACTACATCTACACGTACTACTCGCCAGGATGCAGCATTAGACAAATGCATGGTAAGTATTTGGTGACGCCATCCAGCAGGGTGGATGGAGCCAGTAGCATCGCGCCTCGCGGACCTGATCGACCACCGTCCCACCGGCCAACCCTTGCTTGCGTGAAGGACGCCATGCTGTGCTGTGCTGTGCTGTGCGATAACAATTATAAGCCCGCTGTGGACCTGTGGTGTACCGTTGTCCTCAAGTCTGTACAACGCTGGTACGTACAAATCAGGGAAATCCTATCCTAGAGAGATGGTAATTCGCATTGCATTTCATTTGTCATACGACGACAATGGTTCCCTGAATGTTATACTACATAAACTGAGATTTGAGAAGCTAACAGAAACTGAATTAAATATTTAAATTTGTTACCAGACGGCACGAGAAGAAGATGACGGTAGCAAACCAAGTATAGCACTTCCGGCATTCAGTAGGAGGAGGAACCGGCGGCGTATGATGAGAGAACAAATGAAGCGCCATGTGATGTGCTTTCAACGTGGAGGTGAAGCGGAGCCGTGTAGTAAAGGGGGCCGGGGGAAAAGAAAAAGGATCGCATCCTTCGTGGGCATCTTTGCAAAATAAAGCTATATATCCAGGCATCTCACAGATTCGCAGCGGTGCACACTGCACGTACCATGATTATTGTCTTAAACCTCACTTCTCCCCGCTGCCAAGTAAATGAAGGCAACGCACGCGTGTGCCTCTCCCAGTCCCAGCGCCAGACTGCCCAGAGAGTATTCATACTCATTCAATTCGTTGCATGCATGATGCCTGCGGCCTGCCTCGTATACACTCCGTACGTACGTAGCAGTATATCTGTCTGGTGCCCAAACGTGTACGTGTGCCCGTGCTCCGATCCCCCTAGACCCTAGTGTGTTACGTGCACATGCTCGCATAGATCGTAAATATACCAGTGACCAGTCGGCACGGCGCAGCTAGCAGACAGGCCGTGCTGTGCAGCCAGCCGCATGATAATAACCATAGGATTGCATTGCATTCATCTCATGCTGCTGCATCCTCAATTCCTTCCATCTCGTCATCCCCCGAGGAGCAAAAGGCTGCAGAGGACGACCGGATGGAGATGGAATAATCACGGCGGCCCAGACAGGAAAAGCCGCCTGCCCTCCTCCGTCAGCCGGCGGGCCCAGATCGGCCCACCCCGCGCAAGCCCCGAGGCCGCCCGCCCAACGGCAAAGTGGAAAGGGTCCATCCAAGCGACAGGCGCACGTGGCAGCTTATCCCTCTCGCCCCGCAGGCCGCAGCCCAGTCATCAGCCATCATCGGCCATGGCCGCGGCGGCATTCCTCTCCGCCAGGGCGGCGCCCGCGCTGCTCCCTCCCTCGCGCAGGCTGTCCCGCCGCCTCGTCGTGTCCCGCGCGGCCGCGGCCTCAGCATCCTCGTCCTCCGGGGGGCAAGGTGCGCTGATTGCCTGATTCCTTTCCGCCTCACGTGACGCGACCCGACCCTGCCATGCTGCTAGTCCTGCTGCGGCATGCGTAGGCGACGAGACGAGTGGGGCATCGTATCGCTGGATGACGCAGAGCTCCCTCCTCACCGCTCGCTATCCGCTTGTTTCTGATTGGCGGCTTTCGCAGGTGGCGGGGGAGTGGAGTTCCAGGGGAAGGTGGGCTTCCTGGGGCTCGGGATCATGGGCGCGCCCATGGCATCCAACCTCATCAAGGCAGGGTAAATCACTCCATCCATTCCCTTTGCTTTCTCAGCTGCATGCAAGGCAGTAGCTCACAGCTTTGTTTCTGGCTTCTTCAGCTGCGACGTTACGGTGTGGAACAGGACCAAGAGCAAGTGCGATCCCCTCCTCAGCCTCGGTGCCAAGTATGCCTCCCATTTCGTTTCCAACTTCGTCTTTGCATACCCAATTAGCAACCAATTACTCCCTCCGTCCGCAAAATAATGCAATTATGGGAACCGTGCCGGTCCAACTAGTCTAAGTTTGACTAAATTTGTAGTAAATAATATTAATATTTATATCTTCAAATAAATTTATTATAAAAATATATTCTATAACTAATCTAATGATACTTATTTTGTATTATAAATGTTAGTACGTTTTTATACAAATTTAGTCCAAGTTTAAGTTGTTTGACTTTTCGAAAAACGAGAATTGCATTCTTCTGTGCACCGATGGAGTATTCCTCAATGCATACTAGTAACACTCCGTACGAATAAGGGCATGCAAATTCTTGAAATGTGATAGACCTTGTGTTTCATGATAATTCAGTCAGGACCCTGCAAAGGCCCAATTTCGTGGTTCACCATGAACATTTCTTCCTCGGTGTCCACCTTGTTGTTCACTCTTAATTTACTTGAAAGACTCCTATGTTCTGCTGAAATTCCACTAAAAAACACTCCAAATCGAGGAACCAGGCCCTTTACAGCTACAATGAATTTACTTTCAGTGCCACCTAGACAGTGTCATTTTGTTATTCATGTTGATCCACCACAAAAGCAGTGTTCTATTGAAAATTAAAAAAAAAAGATGCGCATCATGCATTGCTGCGACCTCCAGGTACGAGCCTTCACCGGCCCAAGTCGCTTCATCTTGTGATGTGACATTCGCGATGCTCGCTGATCCACAAAGCGCGGTATGTGCTTCATTCCAGAATTCAGATTCAGACAGCAGTCTTCTCTGTTCATGAAAACTCACATGACAAACACAATCATGTCTGTGACGATATGTACCTACTACAGGCTGAGGTTGCATGCGGGTCCAGTGGAGCTGCCGAAGGGTTGGCCCCTGGGAAAGGGTAACTAACTAACTAACCTGCCTCTGAAGAACAATGATGCATCAGAGAGCTTGCCTGGAGCATGTGAGGACGCATAACTAGATAACGTTATCTCTTGTCTTCTTGCCTGTTACCTGCAGCTATGTCGATGTGTCGACGGTTGATGGTGCTACATCCAAGCTGATCGCTGAACGCATTACAAGTAGCGGGGCATCTTTCCTTGAGGTAGTCCCTGGCCCCTGCCACTGTTTACAGACCCATCTTGTACAATGAAACTGTTCATCTGCTTGTCCCACTGTATTCATCAAAAGTGTAATTGCAATGCCTGTACTTTGCTCCAGCGCTAACTCGATAACTTTTCAGTAGGCTCCAGTTTCAGGCTCGAAAAAGCCAGCAGAAGATGGGCTGCTCATCTTTCTTACCGCAGGTAAACTTCCACTTCCATGATCATAATTGTAAAGCCCCTTTTCTGTTTCTTTCAACACAAAAAAGCCCCTTTTCTGTTATCTGAAACTGTAAACACTACTGCACCAAGGTGATGAATCCTTGTACAAGAGAGTGGCGCCCCTCCTTGATGTCATGGGGAAGGTTAATCTCGTATCTTCAAAGAACCATTTCCCTCACCACATTCTAGATCGAGAAAATGCGCTAATTTTTCCGCCTCACTCTGAAACCAGTCAAGATTTTATCTTGGCGATGTAGGCAATGGTGCGGCAATGAAGCTCGTGGTTAACATGGTCATGGGGAGGTGTCACAAAATCATTCCTTATCTACTGCATTCTTAATATGTTTGAGCAAAACCTTTGGATATTGTCACTAAATGTTCTGGTTCCTTTGCTGAAATATTGCAGCATGATGGTTTCCTTCTCAGAAGGGTTGCTCCTGAGTGAAAAAATTGGCTTAGACCCTAATACTCTTGTTGAGGTAATTTCCGAAAGAGAAACAAAAATAATCTGAACTCAACACTGCAGCAGTATTAAATAGTGAACACCGATATAGAGGGAATCTAATCTAGGGTACTTTGGTCGTTTCAGGTTATTTCCCAGGGTGCTATCAGTGCCCCCATGTTCTCCCTAAAGGGCCCATCCATGGTTAAAGCTGCATATCCTACTGCCTTTCCTCTGAAGCATCAACAAAAGGTAGCACTTACTTGCTTGTCCATTCATTCAGCAGTGATGAACAGTTCATTTGCATCTGGTCGGACCTAATCACGACTGAGCAGAGCTCCTGACAATAATGAAACAAACCCCAACTCATGGCAGGATATGAGGCTCGCATTGGCCCTGGCGGAATCAGTGTCCCAGTCCATTCCTACAGTTGCAGCTGCGAACGAGCTGTACAAGGCTGCAAAATCGCTTGGCCTTAGTGACCACGACTTCTCGGCAGTTATTGAAGCGCTGAAAGCCAAAGTGCAGAGCTCACAGCAGTAGTTGTTGCCTGTTCAGCTGCCATTGAGGCAGCATTGTCTTGATGAGGAATGAAGTTGACAGCAAAATCGCTTGGCCTCAGTGACCACTTCAGCAAATGCAAAATAAGCACAACTTTTCTATATTTAATATTTGTAAAAAAATTCTCGGAACAATACAATTTCTGTATTTGTAAATATTTTCTCAAACATTGCAGTGACATTTCATTAAGGAAGAATATATTTGTAAGAATAAAACTCTATTGATGACAGACAACAGCACATGTACATGAAGCGCTTTGGCTAGATAAGAAATGGTGTTGCTTTGCTTTTGCATGAAGTGCATTGTAAAAATATATGAAGGTTCATTGATGTCAGGCAGCACCGCAGCACCACAGTTTCTGTTTTCGTAAAAATAAAAAGTCGATTGATTACAAATAGCACCACATGTACATGATCTATAAACAACAGACCCACGGGAAAAAAGGGATCTCATATTAGTTTGATAAGACATAACATACAACAAACGAGCATCAGAGGGGCTGATGAATCGACTCGGCAGCTACCACATTGTATTCAAGCACACAGGGCATCTTATTCAGAATGTGCTACAATTTATGCTCTGTTAGGGTACAGAAGGCAGGCAGATCAAAATCTAACAATTTTTGGGGTGTAAACAACAGAAATTGTTTTCGATGTGGGTACAAAACTGATTCAAGCACCAGCTAAATGTGCCTACTACAATGCGTAAAGTTTTTGTTTCTGCTTTGCACTGCAGGCACATGAACAGTAACTTCCACGCAATCAGTATGTTCTACTGCTGCAGCAGTTTAGCATACTACCGATGACCCTCGTCGACTGTCAATTGCTGGAACAGCTTTGCTTGTTTGGTGAAATATACACAATGCAATCTGGTGGGGTGGTCCATGTGCTAAGATCCCATTCCAGCCACCCCCTTAGCTTTGGCTGCCGCCTGCTGTGCTGCCGTGGCGGCTGCAGCTGCTGCTGCAGCAGCTGATGCAGCTGGTGATGCGGGGGAAGCTGGTGCGGCTGGGGTCTTCTGCGGTGCTTCGATAGTATGCTCCTGTTGCTGTTTGTTATGTACCTGGGCCAATATGTTCGTTATCTGGGCTCCTGTGAGAGTCTCATGCTCAAGAAGTGCGTTGGCTAGAGCATGTAGCTCTTTATTGTGTTTTGTAAGAATGGTCTTCGCATTATTATATGCATTCTCTAAGAAATTCTTCACCTCCTGCTCAATCACAAGTCTAGTTTCTGAGCTCAGGCTCTTTCCATCGTCCTCGTAGTTATAAGAGACAAGGCCGACCTGCTTGCTCATGCCATATTTAGTAACCATGGCTCTTGCCATTGCAGTTGCTTGCTGGAAGTCTGAGGACGCACCGGATGTCACCTCAGTATCCCCAAATATAAGCTCTTCTGCCACACGGCCTCCCATGCAGACATCCAATTTTGCTAGCATCTGTTTCCTTGACACACTAGTCTGGTCTTTGTCAGGGAGTTGGGCCACCATTCCTAGAGCCATCCCCCTGGGTACGATGGTAGCCTTGTGGACAGGGTGAGCTCCTTCTGTGTGGATAGCAACAAGGGCATGCCCTCCCTCATGGTATGCTGTCAACTTCCTGCATTCGTCAGAGATAACTGCCGACTTCCGCTCACTACCCATCATGATTCGGTCCTTTGCATACTCAAGATCATTCATTGTGACAGCTTTTGCACCATCCATGGCAGCCTTAAGAGCAGCAACATTTACCAAGTTAGCAAGGTCTGCACCAGAGAATCCTGGTGTTCCTCTAGCAATGATCATTAAGTCCACATCATCACTTTTCAAGATCTGCAATAAACAAATAGGATGGTAAGAGAATACAATTTCATTTGAATAACACAGTAACAAGAGTTCTCAAGATCACCTTTGACATATGGGATTCTAGAATTTGACGTCGACCTTCAACATCTGGGTTGGGAACAACAATATGACGGTCAAAACGCCCAGGTCTGACTAGGGCTTTATCTAGTGACTCAGGAAAGTTGGTTGCAGCAATGACAATTATCCCCTCGTTCTGCTTAAAGCCATCCAACTCGACAAGCAGCTGGTTCAAGGTCATCTTCATATACTGTTGATCCTTAGGATTCCGGCTCCCACCAATTGCATCTATTTCATCAATAAATATTATGCAAGGAGATCGCTTTTTTGCTGCAGCAAAAAGGTCTCGCACTCTCCGAGCTCCAACTCCCACAAACATCTCCTCAAACTCACTTCCACTGCAAGAGAAGAAAGGAACACTAGCTTCACCAGCAATAGCCCTAGCTAGCATGGTTTTCCCAGTGCCAGGAGGGCCAACAAGCAAGACACCTTTCGGAAGCTTTCCACCAAGACGTGTGAAGCGCTGAAAACAAGAGCACAGTTTGTGAGCATCGTATGAAATGAAAAACAACAACAACAACAACAACAACAACAACAACAACAACAAAGCCTTTAAGTCCCAAATAAGTTGGGGTAGGCTAGAGTTGAAACCCAGCAGAAGCAATCAAGGTTTAGGCACGTGAATAGCTGTTTTCCAAGCACTCCTATCTAAGGCTAAGTCTTTGGGTATATTCCATCCTTTCAAGTTTCCTTTTATTGCCTCTACCCAAGTCAACTTCGTTCTTTCTCTGCCTCTCTTCACGTTACTATCCTGGCTTAGGATTCCACTACGCACCGGTGCCTCTGGAGGTCTCCGTTGGACAGACATGTCCAAACCATCTCAACCGGTGTTGGACAAGCTTTTCTTCAATTGGTGCTACCCCTAATCTATCACGTATATCATCGTTCCGAACTCGATCCCTTCTTGTATGACCGCAAATCCAACGCAACATACGCATTTCCGCGACACTTATCTGTTGAACATGTCGTCTTTTCGTAGGCCAACATTCTGCACCATACAACATAGCAGGTCTAATCGCCGTCCTATAAAACTTGCCTTTTAGCTTCTGTGGTACCCTTTTGTCACATAGGACACTAGATGCTTGGCGCCACTTCATCCACCCTGTTTTGATTCTATGGCTAACATCTTCATCAATATCCCCGTCTCTCTGTAGCATTGTTGTACATGTCCTTAATGAACCCGACGTACTTCGTTGGGACTTTATGTTTGTCCAAAGCCCACCACATAACATTCCTTGGTATTTTATCATAAGCTTTCTCCAAGTCAATAAAAACCATGTGTAGATCCTTCTTCTCCCTATACCGCTCCATAACTTGTCTTATTAAAAACAGTACCTTCATGTGTTGTCAAGACGAGATGAGCTTAATAACTCATAACAGAAATATATATACAAAATGGAAGAAACTCGAAAACTATCAAGTATCAACATGGCAAAAATATGAGCCTACAGCTTCACAAAAGCAATAGAAAGGGTAGGTCAATGATAAACTAATTAATGGCAACTTTTACTTAATCTATTCAGTAACATAAAGAACAATGTGGTTACTAATAGCAGGAAGAGTACTGCTGATAAAACGACACCAAACAGTCTAAGCACTGATTTTTCACAAGTTTTGTGCAAACAAAGATATTGGTTGATGAGTCCAAAAGTAATACATGGATAAAAAAAATTAGGGAGATTGAAGCATGATAGTTTCACATCACGGCATGGTGATCATTCTTACCCCCCAACCCACCCCACCCAAAAAAAAAACAGCAGGCGGAGGAAATATTCATCAAGTAGCATTGTTTGACTCCAAGAAATATACCATTTTTCAAAAAGGGCAGACCCAGTGCCGGAGGCTCCCACATGAGTGGGGTCTGGGGAAGGGAAAAACCGAGGCAAGCCTTCCCCCCGCAATTCAAGACTAATGATTTAAAAGGTTTTACCTTGGGATCTCGAAGATAATGAACTATTTCTTCAAGTTCAAATTTTGCTTCATCAACACCCTTTACATCGCTGAATTTTGTACTAGACTCCATGCTTGGTTGAACCTCTTCATTCAGACCAAGGCCTACATTCAATTCATAAATGGTTAATGGGCTGACGTTCAATTCAGAAGATAATACAGATCTTCCACAAAATCAAACCTTTGCTGATTCCTCTATCCTCGATGAGAGCACCGATGCCCGAAATAAGAAGGAAAGCTAGTGCAATGCTTCGGAAGGTACGCCAAAGCTGATCCTTAAATTGACCTGTTTCTGCTGTGACCATGTGAATAGGTGCATTTGCAGTGCCAAGAGCTCCATCTTTTGTCACTTGACCAGCACCAATTAATGCTGGAATGCTACTAAAGCTTTCTTCCCCCCTTGTCGAGGAAGCAACACCTGTACAGAAAATTCATAAGTAGAGTTTTTAAGTCATGTTAAACAAAGGATAAGGCATTATCAACTTAAGGAATGCTACCCAGGCTTCACTATAGGAATTTGAACTACAGACCCATACACAGAAGATTAGGATAAGTTTAGCCAAGAGCACAAAAATAAAGTATTCTAGAGAGAGCAGGTTTCCCTGAATTAGTACTCTAAAAATCTAATGTGTTTGCCTGCATATATAGTATAAAGCAGCAATAAGTGGTTTAAGATTACCATTACTCTCACAATTCTCATTTTAGTAAAACTCAATGTCCAAGAATTTGATAACACGTACAAAACTAGAGATCTCTCTCCAATTACTAAAGAGATTAGTGTTTCAGTCGTCTGTCCAACACAAGCACCAAATCTGAGTGTTTCTGCCATCTCAGGCACCAAAAGCAGTTGGGGTTCAACATGGACGATGCGGTCTGCAAGTTGGAGTCATACATGACGCCTAGCTTCATCTAAAATTCTAATCCACACGTTGGGAAGAGAGAAGACTCTCGATGCAATGCGCGTTCTTTGGCAGATTAGCTTACACCTCAAATTAACTCTGATTGTTTTTATTCGGTGCTACGTACAAAGCAAGCACGGACAGTGGATGAATTCATGAAGGATGAGCTACCTATTTATTAGGTTATTAGTTTTCAATCTCCTCTCATCACTGAATGCTGAGCCCACCATCAACCAATTCACATGCCACGCATGTCCATCTCGCCCCTCCTCACATTCGGCTGGTGCTGCAGCGGGCCAGGCCCATGGCACTGTCCTGCACGCAGACAGCGGTGCTCACTGAGTCAGTGAGCAGGCAGGCACGTGAGCCAGCAGCTGTGACAGTCAAGAACTGCATGTGCCAGGCAGCAGCAGCAGCAAAGCTGGCAACTGGATGTGCCTGGTGAGGCTGCCAGTGCCTCCGGGCCATATGCATGGGTGATGTTTTCCACGGCCACTAGGATTAGTAGACAGCTGCAGCAGGCTTGTTGCTTTGGCGCGTGGGTGGAAACAGGCAGTAGCATGCATGCTACGGAAGCCCTAAGTTAGAGCCAGGAAGATGGAATAAAGGTGCAGATGTGTTTTTTGGGCTCCATGGTATCAGGCCATGTAAAACAATTCCGTGCGTTCCTAATAAAAATAATTAAAAAGACAGAGCAAACCCACAGAAACCAATCACAGGTTTGTTTCCCTGCACCCTCTCCTTTCTAATCAGCCGTGCTGCCACAGGTCCCCTTCCTGGCTCCAAAAAGGATATCTGCTACCACATCCCCTTCTAAAAAACGGGTGCTACTGGTGAACGCTGCCGTTGCAACACGTCATGAGAATGGCGTCATGCACAACCAGGATGTGCTAAGTTTTCAAGGGCCTTCGCCCGTAGCAAAGCACAGCCATATTTACTAGTCTCTACAGTAGAGCATAAAGTTTTCTTTGACAGAGCATCTAATGCCATGGAAGACGAATATGTATGCATTTGTTAGCTGCTGTGATTTATTCATAGGGACAGAAAATAATTTGTATACAAGACATAGGCATCAAAACCTACTAGCAGGGCATTGGATGTATCCAGAATATAAGAACACAGCCACTATACATGTGTCTTTCAAGTGATGCTGCAGCTAGAAAAATAAACAGTAGCTGGAATGCAAAAACTTAGCCATGAAATAAAGGAAATGTCTTACGACTTTGGTACCTCTCTGCAGTGTTTTAAGCAAGGCACTCTCGTCCAGCCTATCAACCCTTACAAGAGCTTTTACATACTCTGAAAGTGCTGCAGGATTAGAATGTAATGAAGGTTGGCTTTCAAATATTGGTATGACACGCTCTGGGTCACTTCTGTAGATCTCTTTAAGCAGAGAAGTTTCACTTGGTGATTCTAGGTCTCGCACCCGGCGTGCAAGGCTACCAATGTAACTTGACTGGTTCCTCTCTTGTAAATTTCTAATTCTGGCACCTGCGGTGAGCAACAGGACAATATAGATGTCAAACAAAAAGTGGGAACACATTTTAGCATTAGAAGACTGGCACTGAATAGTGACACTGCATTGAAGAAAGTCGTATACTGTATAACAGATGCATGATCACCATCACAAACAACTTTAGTGAGTAAAGGAAAATAAAGGATAGAGAGAGATATAAGGTGAAATTTTGGACAGAAAATGATATGGAAACTCCTACATTGAGCATGGTAGCTTTGGGAAGATGCAAATGTCCCACAGTTAGGCGGCAACATATTAATAGAGTAATTGGAAACAGATGCCCGTTGAATTCTGCACTAATTCATTGTCACCTCAGTGTACCTGCAGTGATGTCACTTCGAAGAGCGCCCAAAGGGGAGGAAGCAACTAGTTCATTATAGATTGCTTTTGTTGGTCGATGCCTAGCAATCTGCAACAGAACAACACACACATACAAAACTGGATCAGCTAAAGCAACTAACATTCATATGTATACATACATCAACATGGATAGAACACAACAATATCGCAGAGCAGATTATTTGATTACAGAATTGTTACAGAACATCTCAATATTCATTTTATTCAAAAGGACTTGCCATGAATTTTTAGTTCTGCTCTTCCTAAGAATTAGCTTCACGAGACACAGAATGACAATATAGCAGTGCAGATTATTCAATTGCGATCAACAACGGTTACAGAACATCTCTATATTCATTATTTAAATGGACTTGCAATCAGTTTTTGGTTCTTATTGTTCCATCCTAAGAATTAGCTTCACTAGACACAGAACGACTAGTTGACAATATAGCAGAGCTGATTGCGAGCAACAATTGTTACAGTAGATCTCAATACCCATCATTCAAATGGATCAATTTTTAGTTATTATTACTGTTCTGTCCTAACAAATAGTGTCCCAGGACACAGACCAACACACTAGATGACATCTGGACTTAAATCTACAGTTTCCTGTAAATTCTCATACAGATACAGGCTAAACTAAAAGAAGTTATTCTTTCTATTACTAGCGGAAAGTAGTAACGGTTACAAAACGCAAACTGGATCATTGTTTGGCCAAAATCAGTAGCCTGCATGTTTCGTCAGCAGAGACATCCTCACAGGCAGCTCCCAAGATAGCCATGTATAACAACAAGATATACGCAGACGTTGTTCGTATCCGCAGAGCACCAACAACGCAGCCCCCAATCCCGCACAGACACCCAAGATCGAAGATTTGAGGCCACCGCCGTATCTCCGTACAACAATAAAGCGCGGCAACGAAGAAAAGATCAGGCAGGAGTCTCACCTGGGTGAGGACGCGCCGCCACGCCATGGGCCCGAATCCCTAGCCCTGCGCCGCTCGGCCCAGCGAGATCCCGAAGAAGAAGCGCCCACGCGGTCGGGGCGGACGGACGGTCACAACGGAAACGAGCCTCGGAACCGCGCGGCGGGGGAGGAGGGATTAGAGGTGGTCGGTGGCGGCGCGGTTGAGGCGGGCGCGGGGATGAGCGGATGTAGGCGGCAGGGGCTCAGGTCACGCGCAAGCAGTCGAGGGTGGACAGGACAGGAGAAGCGAAGGAGAGGAAGACGACACGAGGGAGAACTCCCCCCGATTTTTTCTCTTTTCTTTTCTTTTGCCCCTCGGAGACGGACGCCCTTTGTTTGGGCTGGTTTGGCATGACGGAAGATACCGTTGGCCGGTCTGACGTGGGACAAAAATATTGTCTGTCGACTTATAAGCTAAATATGGCCCCGAAAAGAATAGAAGTGTCTAGTAGAATAAAAATATTCAAATAATAAAGTGATACTAGTATTTTGAGAAGTCACTTTTTTTAGGTCCTTCCCACCCAAAGAGGTGGAATAAATTGCCTTTTATCTGAAGTTAAGCATTTTCTTTAGACCATGCCTAAAATGGCCCCCCAAAAGAATAGAAGTGTCTAGTAGAATAAAAATATTCAAATAATAAAGTGATACTAGTATTTTGATTTTTTTTAGGTGGAGGTGGAATAAATTGCCTTTTATCTGAAGTTAAGCATTTTCTTTAGACCATGACAATGGGCTGGGCCGCTTTAGTTGAGTCCCCAAATGGAATATAGTAAGCAATTTCCTTTAGACCAAGACCATGGGCCGGGCCCCTTTAGTTGAGTCCCCAAATCGAATGCAAGTGTTTGGAATTTGAGTCGTCGAAGATTGGGGAGCACAGTCACTAGTGCCGTATGAGATATTGGACCGATGAAGCTTTTGGTTTACGGTTTGATTGATATCTTTCTTCCAAAAATAAAGAGAAATGCTAATGGTCAACCGATTGATTTAGGGACATCTCTCAACCTGTTTTTTTTGTCATCGGATGGTGTTCGATCCTCCTCGCCCGTCCTCCCTCAGCCGTCGATAGAGAACCAACCGGATAACTTCGGCCTCGTGGTCGCCCCCGCCGTTCCCCACGGCTTCTCTCGAGGGAGCCGCGTAGGCGGCCTGTTCGCCTAGGCTGTGTGTCCACCGCCGAGTAGTGCAGCATGTACGTGAGCAAAGGAGAGAGGGACTGCTCGTGGGGGGCCACGCTGGTTGACCAAGAGTGGAGCAGAGGCGCTGCTCCCTCCGTTTCTTTCTGCGTGAGAGGCCGGCACCATTTCGTTTTGCTTGGGGACGCGTGTGCACGGGCGTCCCCGACGGCGTCCCTTCCGGTTGCAGCAATTTTGTGTGGATTTTGTATATTTTTTTGAATTTTGTGAAGAATTTGTGAACAATTTAACATATATTTCTTTGGTGTCTGGAATCCATAAAAAATAATTTGTATTTTTTTTGAAAAAATTGGCATATATTTATGATATTATCAAATTACATCACTCTGTCCAATAAATTACACTAAAGAAATCATTATAAATATAGTAATAAGTCGGTGTAAATATAACTATAAGATAGTGTAAGTGCATAGAAAAAATTCAGTTGATGAAAGGGGCTAAATCAACCGGTTGTTGGCTAGACATACCCAAAATAAATGTATTAGACAAACACTTGTCTGAATAGTCCCTATGTAGGAAGTTTTTGGCAGCTTTTGCTTCTTCAAAAGTTCAAAAAGCTAAAAGCTCTCAAACTATTACAATATTAGGCAAATTCAGTGCCCAATCTAGAAATTATTAACATGATGTCTGTGACATCATACTTGTGCACGTGTGATTTAAGCACAATGAACATAATACTGTCATTATTTTAATCATGGAAAATAAAAGACAGAATGTGCAAGAGGGCCGAATAGATGCCGGGATGGGTCTCTTATCTCGCACGCTCTCATAGAAGGCAAGAGGTCCAATAGAAGCGGAATAGATTAGGCACTCGGGGAAGCCACACGGAATATTAGAAGACGGAAGCAGATGAGACGCTCACGGAGGCGCCCGAGCTAGCCTCCTGTAGCTCCCATCGTCACAAGTAGAAACTTCTAAAACTCCTATCATCAAACAGCTTGAGTGGCAAAAACAACCCACGCCCCGGACCACATCGAGTCGGGTAGGCCACGCCACCATAGGCGGAGCTTCATTGGGGTCATGGTGGGCCATGCCCCCCTTCATTTTTCCAATTTTACATAGGATAATATAGATATACATGTATGTATATTTTGCTAATGAAGTTTTATAATGGACACCATAACCGTCCCTAGATCATATGTATTTTCTTGTTGGTCCCTTCTGCCACGTTCTCATCCTCTCTCAACTTCTTAATATAGGCACATACAGTCCACCCATATAAGTTGAGTCAGCAACCAGTCAAAATTCTATATGAGACTAAAACTATAATGTGCATGATATTTAATACGGGCCTTAGGGTCTATTTGATTTACTTGAATTAAAATAGGCCAAGCCCATTATTAAATTCAATCCCCACCAAATTCTAAGACGCACACCAAATTCTAAGACGCATATTAAATAGTCTCAAATCCACAGTTGTTTGATATACTAGGGTTTCGATGGAGACTGTTAAGTTGAATATCCACCTAGAACAGATATATTCATTTACAGCTGGACAATAGACTATGCATTGAATTGATAGTTTTGTTCAAAGTGAGTTTTATCAAAGTTCTTTTTTGGCACTAAGCTACTATAAGCATCCCCTCTGGTTAAAGCATGTAAGTCATACTTTAAGGCCTTTCATGAGTATCTAGAGATTACCCATATCTCATAGACTGTGACTAGCAGTCGAACTTATATAGGTGTGTTCCTTCTAAGATGTTCTATAGGACAACATCTCCGTTTAAACAAGTCACTCGGATCATATTATACATCATAGGAGAAACATGCATCTCAAATGATATGGACCTTATTATAAAGGGTCTCTCCATCACAGTCAATCCACTAGCTTGTTGCACCATCCTACTTTATAGGATCTCTAATCACATAGAACATGTTACCACTATGTAATGACTTCACATGGGTCTCAAGCCCATCTCCCTCGATGCACCATCCATCACATTACGTGACGAACCCTTAGTGAATTGATCTACTAGATTTTTAGATATGTGAGTTTCTTGATACATTTTGACCGCCTCTCTACATGTCTTGTTGACTTCATATTATCCTTAGAACTATCTTCTGATTATCAAAGTTCATAGAAATAGTCGATATAGGTTTTCAACTACCGGTAAATCCATAAGGAGTTCACGAAGCCATTCAACCTCAACAGTGGTGATATCTAATGTTGTGAGTTCTGCTTTCACTATTGACCTCATTAAGATGGTCTACTTGCTAGACTTCTATGAAATAGCACCACCTCCAAGTGAGAACACATATCCACTCATGGTGTAAATCTCATCATTATCAGATATCTAATTTGCATCACAATAACCCTCTAGTACCCTTAGGTAGCCGGTATAGTGAATATCGTAGCTCATAATCCCTTTTAGATAGCGTAATACCCTCTCAAGGGCATGCTAATGATCCTCTCTTGAATTTAAAACAAATCTGTTGAGTTTGTTCACAACCGAGATGTCAGGCCTCATTGCACTAGCTAAATACACAAGAGAGTTGATGATTTAAGAGTATCTCAATTGATCCCGTGCTATTCTTTGATTTTCCATTAATAGCCCACTTGAGTCATAAGGGGTTGGAGCAAGTTTGCAGTCACTATATCTAAAACAACTCATCACCTTTTCTATATAATGGGGACTGCACAAGTGTTACCCCACCATTTACTTCTCTAAGTAGCTTTATGTTAAGAATAGCATTAGTTTCTTCCAAATATTTCATTTCAAAGTTACTAGACAGAAAGTCTTTCACTTTCTTAATCACATTAACATTATTTCCAAAGATTAGTATATCATCAACATATAAGCACAAGATTACACCTTCTCCCCCCCACCATACCGATAGTAAACACATTTATTAGCTTCATTCACAACAAAGCTGGATGATGTTAAAGTTTTGTTGAACTTCTCATGCTACTACTTAGGTACTTGCTTTAGGACATACAAAGATTTCAATAGTTTACACACCTTTCCCTTCTTGATCATTTGCTACAAATCCATCAGGCTAATCCATATAGATCTCTTCCTCAAGCTCTCTATTCAAGAAAGTTCTCTTAACGTCCATGTGATGAACGATAAGACCATGTGAGGTTGCTAAGGAAAGTAACACTCTAATAGTCGTTCAACGAGCAACCGATGAATATTATTGAAATAATCTTTGCCTTCCTTCTAGGTATAACCCTTGGCAACAAGCCTCGCTAGGCCTAAGCTTTTACATCCTACATGTTTGCACCCGTATGGACGATCAACCACTTCCCAAGTTTCATTAGACATAATAGAATCCATCTCACTATGAACAGCTTCCTTCCACAAGTTAGCGGGTGGGGGCGTAGGGTACTAGAGCCTTGCTTTGTTTTCACAAGTGGTACTAGAGCCTTGCATATAATGTTGATCTCACGAGGTATCTAATTCTTGTCTTTGCAAGTGGTATCTAACTAACAATGGTGCTAAGGATGGTATATTTGGTGCACTCCGATTGGTATCACGCTTTAAAGGTCCATCTCTTATACCTTAGCATCATTTGGTAGACATTACTCTCCCACAACTTTAATCTATGCATATGTGCAAGCTTTCAATCCAAACTCTTAGCACATATATAGGGGGAGCTAATGCTACCAATTCGGGTTCATGAAACTTGTCCAAATCCTTTACATATGGTAAAAATGCTTGGGCAAGCAACATGAATTCAAATTTGAATTTATTTCATATCTTTGTGGAGGTGTTCATCAATTACCAAAAAGGGGAGATTGAAAGCCCTAGTTTAGTTTTGATTAATTGATGAAACCTATTTGGACTAACCCTATGCTCTAAGTGTGAATTTA